GTTTCCAACTACTCTGTTAAATGGGGTAACAATAGTTTCCAACTACTCTGTTAAATGGGTAACAATAGTTTCCAACTACTCTGTTAAATGGGTAACAATAGTTTCCAGCTACTCTGTTAAATGGGTAACAATAGTTTCCAACTACTCTGTTAAATGGGTAACAATAGTTTCCAACTACTCTGTTAAATGGGTAACAATAGTTTCCAACTACTTCCAGTTGTTATAGCAAATGTATGAAATCGTTTCTCTTTCTTTCTATAAGGTAAACATTTCATATTTAAATTTCAAGGTAGTTTTTAACATATCCATAGACATGATTGACTCTAGACTAGCAATTTGAGGGTCGTGGGTTCGAATCCCCGTGACATCAAACATGCTCTTTCTTTCAGCCGTGGGGGCGTTATAATGTGTCGGTCAATCCTTCAATTCGTTGGTAAAAGAGTAGCCCAAGAGTTGGCTTCCCTCTAGTCTTACACTGCTAAATTAGGGACGACTAGCGCAGATAGCTCTCGTGTAGCTTTGAGCGAAATCAAAACAAAACAAACACATTAGATTATTAAAAAGCACTCTTAACGACAAACATGTTGGTTCCATCTTTGAAAGATGTAATTTATTTATTTATCACTCAGTGAGATGGTAGTTGCTTTCCAAATACATTAAAACTTATGAAGATGAATAATCGCACGTGGGGGATTATTTAGTAAGAAGTTCACATCTCTTAAGTTACAAATACATATGTGGTATTAGTTATTATGATAGAATAGTGAATATTTTTGCTCATTGCTCGAGATTTTTGGCGAGCTTGTAGGATAAGATATAAACACACATTGCTTTCGTATCGACAAGTACAGCACATTCCAGAAAACATACCAACAGTAAATAAAAACCTTTATTTATATTTTTCTGAAATATACTGCAATGGTGATTGTACTCCTTTTTGGGCTATACAAATCCCCAAGGAAGATCTCAGTATAATACTGTTAATATTACATCGTGGACTACAAAGGGCCGAGTACGTTGTGGTAAAAAAATTAATATGCAAATAAGCAAATCACGTAAAAAACGCAGCCGATATGAAGCTGCTGTGGAACGGATTGAATTAGAACTATATAAGGAAGGAGTGGTGTACTTTGGACATGACAGTCTTTTTCAATGAAAATTACGCTGCAGGGGTATTGTCACCATGCACGGCCGTAAGATAGAACATGACAAGACTTGGAAACATGGACTCTAACTACGTGGTGAGGGTCTAACATTGTTTTATAACGTACTCAACCTCTGTATGCAAGTCCACAAATACATATTTCATTACATTGGTGTTTACACTCCAGTGCGGATAATATGAACACTCAAAAAATGATTACTTTATTACGATTTCGGGACCAATATGAGCTAATGGCTGTTTGGGTAACGAGGTATACGGATAGCGAGAAACGATGGTGAAAACATATTTACCATCTTTCTACGGTTTTATTGAGTAAGCAATATGGCGAACGGTAAAATTATTTTCATACTATTTAGTGCCCTCTAGTGGCACAGCGGTATGTCTGCAGACTAACAACGCTAGAATCCGTGGTGGGCAGAGCACAGATAGCCCATTGTGTAGCTTTGTGCTTAACTTTAAACAAATAAACGATACTAATTAGAACTAGTGAAGGAATACTGTGTATTATGAAGTTCAATCTTACTGGCTAAGTTGCGACTACAGCAGTGGTTCTTAACCTTTTCTGCTCCATGCCCCACCTCAAAAAATTTGATGCCCCCTTAATATAAAAACAAATTTGGTGTTGAAAAGGTATAATAATATAATGTAAAATTTAGAAATTTAACAAAAAAAATAGGAGTTTAATTAATAATAAACTATATATTTAGAGCACTTACTAACACTTTCATAATTTTTTATCGTGTGAAATTCACTAACATTCGAACAACAATGCAACTTACCACATCGCTTCCACACCTCACAAAGTTAATGCTTAACTGATCCGAATCTAGCGATAACCGGCAATAAATGAATGACAAATTTAAAGACCGTGTCAGACGACTCAGTTTTAAGTCACGGAACGTTTTTCGCTCTTCACACCCAAATGAAAAAATTTTCTTATTGTAGCATTTTCAAATTGCCCCCCAATATATTCATATTTCTCCCCTGTTGGGCATGCGCCCCACGCTCAGAATCACTGTCCTACAGCAAAGAAAAACAACATGGCGGATTATAAAAGCATTTCATATTTTTAGTTGTGGTGATGGTAGTGAGTATGGAAAATATGGTGGGTGATAAAAGTAGAAATTTCCTTTACGCTTCAGCTGTAACAAGCGAGAAATATAGTGGATTATGAAATTACCTTGTAGTAAACAAGTAACAAACATTCAGTGAATTATAAAAGTAAATTTTACCTTTACGGGCAGCAATAACAAATAATAATTAAGTAATTTAACCTTTTCGCGCCTGAAAGACATAAAAACGGTGATTAACTCCGGTTGTTTGTGGCACAAGAGGGTGAAACTGGTGACATCAAGCAGAAATGTGGTGGATTGTGAAAACAATTCTTACAGTTAAATTGTGGTTACAACAAAAATTCGGGGCGCGGGAATTTTCGGCGTTTCGTGGTTTTCTATTCTGATATTTCAAGACACCAACTGGGAATTCGGGGCATGGGTCCTGTGTGCCAGAGCCTAGCGACGCTTCTGACAACAACTGATAATGTGTTGGAAAATGTGGAACAAGTCTTACTGTTGGTTTGATTGTTTGAAGTTAAGCACAAAACAATACATTGGGCTATATGTGCTCTGCCCATATCGAAACCCGGATTCTAGCGTTGTAAGTCCGCAGACATACCGTTGTGCCACTGGGGGGGGGGGCAATTCTTACTGCTACGTTGCAGATACAAGAAGTAAGAATGTAGTAAAGGCATGGTCAAGGGAAGTCAACATTGGGAATAGTCTAAAAGGTCCATAATATTTTGTTGTTTTTCGTTTATTTTCAATAAACACTTGATTTTTATCTAACTCACTTAAATTCTTTGTGTAGAAAAAAGTTCCTTATAATGCTGGCTACGTCCCTTTGTGGTAAATTCTAAAAGTTACGATTGGCATTACAATGCAGTTACCACAAGCAACAATAACTTTTTTGGATTATGAGAGTAAGTCTTACCGTTTCGTTGCAATGGTAGTGAGCCACGAGAAGATAAGGCATTGTAAACAACGTAGCATACATCATTCCAGCAGTTGGGGAGAGCAGGATAACACACAGTTTGTGCTTTACGGAAGCCATCACAATCATACCGATGGAATAAGCAAGTTGTCCCCCAATGTAGACGGGCTTAGCTCCTGTTGATGAGAACAAAAATGAAGCTAACTTCAACAGATTATTGCGTTGATTTCAGTACAAATGCTGTAAGAAGAAAATAATTTTGCAGGGGTTTCTTATGAAGAAGATCATAAGAAATATTATATTATTTACATAAATGTATTTTTCTTTGTACATGTCATCCTTACCTAGTTTTAGTGATCGATGTGTTACTGTAGCAACTTTAATAGTAAATGTGCGTACGATATCAAGTATGAGTAATACTTCAAGCTAATATATAAAAAATAAAATTAGTTTTATATTTAAATAAAATAGGATATCTACAAGATGCCTTAGAGTATATGTATCTCTTAACTTGGCTACTTATAGTTATGTATTTAACTGAAACACGAAGCTCAAAACTGGCATACGTCTTAAGTTATGTAATGAAAGGTGAATTTCACCTGAGCCTTGAATTTTTTACATTATTTAACTATAGCTATTTAAAATATGATTTAACTTTGATACATAGTACCATGTTTAATCTATACAGTATGTATCTAAAGAAAACATTAAAAATATATATAATAATTTCCAAAAACCTGATTCATGTTGTTTAAGTTTTACGCAATAAATAATATAATAATTAACATAAAAAATAATATATAATTTGAAATGAGAGCTAAGTAAATCTAAACCAAGGAAATAATTTACTAATTACAGTTAAGGCTGTTTGTCAAAATCTAAGTTACGCTGTTTCAGTTTTGCATATTATCAGCAGAATAGTTTTTGATTGAAGATGAATTCACCGAATGCTGGAGGCCTCTTATTTAACTCTTATTGACTGATAATTAGCAAGTAAAAAAATATGGTCTCCATTTGATACTTTCTAGCATAATTACGACACAAAAACGTAATATAATATAATTCAAAGGTTAATTACGTTGTATTAAAACGATTTTGGACCCTCACCACGTTGTTACAGTCCATGCTACCAAAAATAGTCATGCTCTATTTGCCGACCGTGCATCTTGACAATAGCCCTGCAACTTAATTTCCGTTGCAAAAGGACCTCGTAACGTTGTTATATCCTAGTCACACCCACGAGGACAACGTTTTCCCAGCGCCCGTTTTAACAATCCGATCGTATAGAAATCTATAGGCTCTGTGTTCGGCGACTTGTCAAGTGGGTCTTTGTATGGAATAGTGTGAATACCCAACTCATTATTCAGCTACTTAAAGTATGTGCAATAGTTGAGCAGATAAGTCGTGGAAGCAGCTTTTTTTACACGTCTTTTGTAGCTTTTCCAGATGGAGATCCTTCTTGATTATGTTGTGTATTATTGCCTGGGGCACGTGGACGGGTCTTTTTGCCGCTGATATTTGTGATCATGGATTATCACCTGTTACAAGATGCCTCACTTTGCTTACCATGTCTGAGATTATTATTTGTTTCAGGTTATTTTCTATATGGTCCTGGAGCCCTAAGTTTGTCTATATTTCTTTGTTTCCAATACCATTAGATACAAGAAATGTCACCATCTTGGAAATTCTAATTCCGTGATCTAAATTATTTTTATGATATGAGTGTATGAATATTTTGTGTCGGAAAGGGCTGTTATATATTCTTTCTAAAAACCTATCGGTTTTTCACATTACCCGTTATGAACATAAAACAATGTTAAAATGTAGTTATGAGCCATGCTGTTGAAACGAGACTTTAAATCGACTGTGGTTGTCATGTGATTTACTGAGTTGGATCTTCAAAATCGTTTTAATATAACTTACTCATAATATACGGTAATATTATTCTGTCATTACACATTTGTAAATAAAAATTCTCTGAAAGAATATTTAAAGTCCATAGTTTTTATGCCCAACTCTCTACGAATTCTCTGCTTAACTAACCTGTTTTGTTGGAGCTCTTTGGTGTGCTACTCCCTTTACTTTACGGACTTTGTAGGGGAAGTAATATTCGATGGAGATCCAAAGGCTCCAGACGGATCCCCCTCGAACCTGAGGTACTATGAAGGTGTACGATATGGATGCTGGGGAATGGCTATCTACTCTCTGTCCTGCTCTACCTACTCCTACATCATTGAAACGCTTGTCAAACGATTTGGTAAGCACGTGGTTTCTTTATACTTACATGTACACTAATTTACTACCTAGTACGTTAAAAACTGTGAGTTATTTGTGTACAGAAATTCTAATTTGGCAATTTTCTGCTCTATTTCCTTTAGATGTTCTTCTGCATAATACAGAAGAAAAAATCAAGGCCCATGGTGGAAAATATCAAAAATTTACAAATGAAGACGATGAAGAAACTGAAAGCATCCAGATTAGTAATGAATGGTACGGATATACGAAACAGAATTGTAATATAACTGATACTGAAGAAACTTTGGTTCTCAAAGATCTTAGTCTACGAAACAATTATTTTGGAGTAACGAATGATTCGGAAAACACAAAGTCAGATCCAAATCATTTAAAAGAAGTAGAAAACTCCAATTACCATGATGATGGAAAAGAATGTTTAAATCAGTTTTACCAAATCGGAAACCAAGACGATTTGGAGACAAATTTAGAAGATACATTTGCGACTTCTGATGACACATTAAGCCCAAAAAATCAACCTACCCAAATTCAAACCGAAACTACTACAGTGTTTAATATATCAAAATACGAGGCTGTTCGTCATCATCCTTGGGGTATTGTATTCACTGTAGTCGGCACTGTGTTGTTAGACTTATGTTCCGATTCATGCCAGTCACCAGCCCGCACCTATCTTCTGGATGTTACAGTTGTACAAGACCATGCCTTGGGTCTCAGTACCTTCACTATAATGGCTGGTCTAGGAGGATCAATTGGTTACTCTATGGGAGGTATCAACTGGGAGTCTACAATCATTGGGAAAATCTTCCGAAGTCATGTGCGCGCAGTATTTACAATTGTAGCTGTCCTGTTCATTGTTTGTCTCGTGGCCACCATTTCCAGCTTCCGAGAGACCTTTGTTATGAGGTCTGTAGAAACTATGGAGTTTGGTGAGCTCTCTGGTATCATGTTTGGTACGTCCATAGATTCGATTAGATTATCCCTTGCGATATAACCAGTGGAAGTGATATTTTGAATATCTTCATATAATATTTCATCATGATCACCAAGATAAAGTCCAATGTCTTTTCCATTGGGAACAAATATAAGTCCCAAGAAGATTCCTATAGAGAGGAAAATGATGAATGGTCTCCTTCGGCCCAGGCGTGAGTAACATCTGTCGCTTAAGGAACCCAAAATTGGGGTTAGAAAAAATCCTATGAGTGGACTCAGACACCATATCAAAGTCATGAACCTCACTTGGACTCCCAGTCCTAGCAGGATAGGACTCACAAAGGCTGTTTCAGCTGCATAACAAAATTCAATACCACATACTGCACCACTGAGAATCACAAGTTCCCACCGAGTCTTCCGTCGATAGATGTGCGAGTAGTCGTCTGATAAACTGCCCCGGTTTAACCTTGTAATTGTGTTGCTTTTTAGGACGTCAAACGTATGCTGGGCACGAGTCTGGATGTTTGCTACTCGCTGGCTCAAGCTAGATTCCTTTAAAAGTTGGAAAGAATTCTTGGTTCGAGTTTGTAGAGTTTTAAATGCGGCAACTCCTTCTACATACACAGCGTTTATATTCATGTTGATATCATACAGGCATATGATAAATAGTTTAATTTTAAACACAACTTTGTTTTTTCAGGCTGTATGAGAGAAGTGAATTATATAATTTTCAAAGTAACTTACTAGATAATGTTTCATCATAATACGTGTAACTGAAGAATTTGATAAGCTCAAAAAAGACAAGCTCGAATGATTACTCGGATTTTCAGTAACTTAGATTCCACACCTTCATAAATACCAGCTAGTACCAAACAAGAAACTACATGGCTAAAGATAGTTTTGTCTTTAGGACTTGCTTGTAACAAATTTCAGGCTCTAATGACTGAATGTACGATGATCACTTGCAGAATTTCTTTTATTCCCAGGATTACAAGACTATAGAACGGATGAAATCTGTAAAGAATGAGAAATTTAAGTAAGCTAGCTTTGAAACTGTGTTTACATAGCGGTAATTCAAGGACCCTGTTCTGAGCTAACCTTTGCAAGATAAAAGTTAGTGTTAGATAATAAGATTACTGAAGTACATCAGTTAAAGGAAGTTGAACACAACGAGTGAAATATACAAGAAACACAGTTGACTATGACGGAGAAATGTCATCAGGACTTTCTATTGATTTAGGATTCTGAAGTTACTGATTTTGAGATTGGAGAGTTATTGTCACAGTAATAGAAGAGTATGTAGTGTGTAATTGCATATGTGATTTCTATGTTAACAGTTTCTGTATGCTGATACTGTAGAGTAAAGAAGGGATTGCTTGCAGGTATAGTACTTGCCGAACATTTCTGCTGCTGTTATTGTTTGTTTGTTGTTGAGCAAAGCCACATTGGGCTACTTGCTGTGTCCAGCACGGGGAATCGAGCCCCGGATTTAACATTGTAAATCCATAAAATTATCACTGCTGTCATGATAGAAAGTTGATTATTCAAGTGCATCATATGATACTGAAATAGGTGATAAACCTACAAATATAAAAAATATATATTATTATTCACTAAATAAAACTACTTCAAGAGTACAACTTTATTATGTATCATCATTTGATCAGCAACATGGAAACACTAATGGATTATTATAAAGTTAACCATGCGTGTAGCGACTATCCTGCTTGTAGATGGACTTGTTGTGTGACTAATCAGGATCTTCAGAAGGAGTAACAGAAGGACCCAACATAACTTCAAAACTACTTTTCGTACAATAGTGAACTTGAAAATGCTCTACCAATGTACATAACGTGGCACTTGTATGATCAGTTATGATGACATATGGTCCTATTTTTTCAGTCAAGGAAAATGTAGTAGCTGATCAGTTATACAACTAATAGTCATTTCTGCTGTGTTTCTACACTGATTATTTTTATATTAGCGATATCATTGGAACTGTGTTGTGCTGACTCAACAGTCAGTGTCACAGAGTGTACATACAATCCAGTACATGGAAAGAGTAACTGATAATGTTTTTGACTAACATGGGTTTTAGGGTTACTGATAAAACTTATATTATGTACGTGTGAGTTAATATGTAATACTGAGATGGATATATGTGTATGTTGCTGGAAGCAATCACACTTGGACATTATGCGTGACTTTATGGTTTTATCTTCTTTGCTCATACACAGGAATTTGTTTGTTTTGTTGTAGAGCTACACAATAAGCTATCTGCATTATGAGCACACAGAATTACCACTGAGCTAGTTGGGGGGGGGGGGGTAATTGGAAAACATATGGACATGATCGTGATAAACATTCAGGAGCCACAAACAATAAATAACTGCAATTCAGCCAAGTCGTTTGGTTGCCGTTTGACCTTCCCAGTTTCCATATAAACCAATGCAGCCTTAATAACATTCGTACTGAAGCTTTGTAAAAGCCAATCTATGGTTACAAGTGTTAAATTGGACTCTTACTTTGTGGGTAATTTCACCACATTTGGTGCATGCTTGGGAACAATGTCTTGCTGTAAAATGAATTCTTGCTAAACAAGCCTTGTTCCCGAAGAAATTACCTGATGGATGGGAAATTAATTATGCCTGTCAGCAGTCAAGGTGTCACCAATGTTGTGTAGACTTTCAACACCATTAGCTGAGTTGAAGCTCACGCTTGTATTGATCCTCAAAGGTGATTTACTATCGATGTTGTACATTAACCGTTAAAATGTTAATATTTTGCTCTCAAACAAACTATCATTGATTGTTACCAAACTATTTAACTTTGAAGTGGAATATATATTTCAGCTTTTTCGGTTAGATTATTTCTCCTAAGCAGTTTTTAGCACTACACATTTATTGAAGCCACTTCATGCTAATGTGTGTTCTAATCTGGAGGTAACATTAACACCAGGTAGGATATTAGTGCAGTCTCTTCTGGATTGTCAAGTATCAGGTAAAAAGCATGTCCTGAATTACTTAAAAACACTTTTGAATTTGAAAGGTTTGAACTATCTACCTCGATCTCCACTTCTATTATCAACAACACTAGTTTCATGTACCCCTTTCAAGGTGTCCATACAACTCCTGTGAAACAGAACATTTTTATTCAGCCTGTCACATGGAATAGTCTTCACTAGCAAGAACCCTGATTTCTACACGTTTGTCATGGGGCATTTTGTCTTGGGAGCCATGAATGCATTAATTACCCTACTGTATTCTTATAGGCATTATGCTGGTGTGGCGCTCTGTGATTGGTCGAATGACAGACAGTCATAGTAAGCTATCATTTGGTGTGCCTTTATACAACTGGGGGGGGGCACTCCCAAATTTTTTTTTACATTTTATATCGGTGTATTCACTGCTTCCATAATTATTTCCAATACACCTTTTAATGCGTATAAGCAGGATTTAAAATATTTACAATTATTTTTGTTTCTACTATGACAGTTTAAAATTAACTTCTGTGTATTGTGATGCGTGTAAACGAATTTTTAATGGAACTTGATCCTCCTGAGATGTAGATTTTACCAATCTTTCGAATGGCTGGCTGAATTTCCACACTTTTCTTGCTTACACTACTGACTAGTTTCAGCTACTGCCACGTGGCACCACAGTGAACACTGCAAAAGAGTTACCACGATTTTCTATCTTGAAAAAAAAAAGAAGCCATGCTTGTCATACAGTGACTTATGAAACAACATAGTCAACTATAACATATTCTTGGGAAGTAAATTACAACCTTTCGTGACATAAAAACCAGTTTATATAAACCAAGATTTTCCCCTGGTGTCTCAGTAGCAAGGCTGAGGGCTTGTAACTCTAAAAATTGGGTTTTGATACCCACAGTGGGCAGAGCAATAACCTATTGTGTAGTTTTGTACTTAACAACAAACAAACAAAGATATTTCGTTTTTAAATAATTTGTATGCACTGATCCTTAGGCAATATTTTGGTAATACAATTACAAAGGGAAGATGGTTAAATTCAATTAACACACCTGTTTAGATCTACTAGAGCTGAGTCTGTGTGGTTGTTTGTTTTCTTAGAAATTGCCTTACTAGCAGTTGCTAGTGGATTAACTCCTTATCTAAGTCAGCAGAGCTTTCGTTAGGTGCAAAAAGATATATGAAGTAATGCCTAATCTATTTTTAAAAAGTACATATAAATATTACAAATCTGAGCGTGTCCTTAAATGGAGCTATATAAGTGTATCATTTGAATACTGATTAGACATAACAACCTTAATCTTGCTTTTAAGCTTTTCAAATTGTCAGATATTTCCATAGAACTAGCACAGCTGCTTTGAATAAATACGAACTACGTGTGTGTAAAGAGGTAACATTCCCGAGAGGGGGGGGGAATTTTAGTGTACGAATGTGGTTTCTAAACAGTTTTATACTGCATTAGAGTAAAAAAAAACCTTTCAATAAAATATTTCATCAGAGAAAATTAACTTTCTTTATGTACTCATAAACAGCCAAATCACCTTCACTGACATTTTAAGTAACCAAGTATCGATAAACTTGACAAGTGTAAAAGAAGAACAGTGAATTAGAGAGCTTATTCATAAAATGTCATTAAAATTAACTATTTGTTACTATTGTTCACTTGAACCCATACATATACATACTGGAGAAAGAGCACGAACGTAAATAATGAAAGTGTGGCTTCTATTTTTATTTTGAACAACTTTGATCTTAGGTAACTGAAGCAACTTGAAAATTTTCGAGGAAATTTTATAAATTGCTTCAGAGTTTTAGTAGTTGAAAATACATATAATAAAAACTTAAGGGTTTTTAGTATAAGCAAGTAGTCAAGGATATATATAAAAAGAAAAGAGGCAACAAGAGGACGTCTGTGTTACAAAATAAGCTTGCAAAATGAGCCTTGAGAATTGATAAACAGGAACTTAGTTATGTAAGGAGTATTGCCTAGAAACAAGCAACAAGACACATGTATTACAAAACAAAGCTTGAGAAGCGAGCTTGGAAACCAGTAACCAAGGTCAGCAGCAGAGTTAGTAGAAATGCTGCCTAGAAACAGGATGAAGACACCAGTACATATGACAATTTGAAGAATTGTTGATCTCGCCCTCTTAGAACTAAGAAAGCTACAGAAAAGTTTAGATGTGGTGAGTCATATCGGCACTTTGAGGTGGTATTAATTACAGTACATGGGTGTAGCAGTACAAGTGAATGGGCGGCCGGCTAACACCACTTATCTATGACCAATTACTTGAGAGTTTTGGTTCTGGTTTAGCCCGGGAATTCCCCTAAAGTAGCCAATAGGAGCACAGGACTACTTGTGGGTGATGCTGTGTCCTATTTAGTAGGTCGAAATAATACATAGAAAAGATAGTTTAAAAGCCCATGTCAGAGGCTGAAAAGTTAAGTTGTCCGGGACTGAAGAAAAGTTCTCCAGCAAGTTCTCCAAGACTGAAGTTATCCGTTGAGTAAATTCTGAAGTTCTCCAGGACTGAAGAGATGAAAATGAAAATGACTAGCGTGGCTAAGACCTCTATCAAACCAAATTCTACTGTAAGTATAATCTCTCTCTCTTAATCAGCTAGTGTAGAAGTATATAAAATTGTGACTGTATCTGAATAAAATTGTTAATGCAAGTAATAATCCAATATAGTTAATGTTTGAAGTTGTAAGGTTTTATGAAGTTATTAAATGTTAAATAAATGTTATTCTAAGAGTTAACCATTGGCCTGAGTCTTTATGTCTTTAGTCTAACTGTAAACTTTCTCGAGTTAGCGACTTGTGACTCCATTCGTCACGACAAATCCTCCAATAAATAAATTTGGTGTAACGAGTAGTTTTAATTGAAACTCCAACAATTAAGCCCACCTGGGCGCTACTCATTACATAAGCACTTTAAAGTTTTTATAACATAGATATTTCAGGGAATCTCACTTTATTGTTATAACATAGATATTTCATGGAATCTCACTTTATTGTTATA